CATGCATCATCAGGGTCGCCGGTGTTGTTCAGTTCTTGACCCGCCCAGTATGACGATCGCAGGTGTCAGTAACAGACAAGGTGTCGCTCGGTTCCTGATTACTCCAATTGCGAGTGTAGCGTTCCGAATAGAGAGTGACGCGACGCTGCGTGAACAAAAGATTTGCGGAGGCTTTGCGACCTGTTTCGTCCGTGGACATAATGGACAGTCTCTACTCTTTCGATGTCGGCACCGAGAGTTGAGTTGAGGTTCTGGACACGGAAGGTCGCGAAGCAGGCTCCTGTCGTGCCGGTGTCGCATCTCTCTTGAGCATTGACTGCCATTTCGATGTGGTGATCTTGAGTAGATCTTGAAACAATGTTTGGTCGGAAGGAGCCGGATTGCCGTCTAGGTGGTACATTATAGGCGAGGTAAACGACAGTGGAGAACAATGTTGAGGAGACGTGTAATGTGAAAAATGGATGAACGAGTACGGGGGAGCCGGTAAATACTTCGGAGCAAATTCCGATTTCGCACTACTCGTGCCTGGTGCCACCTGCAGGACGCGTCTTACATTTCCCAGCGGCACAGTCCAGCCCCGCGATTTTACGACGATCATCTGCAACCCCACGGTTGGGAGTTGGGGCTAGGCCGTGTCGCTGTTCGAGACGTTATTTAGTGGTAGTCACACCAATCAATTCTGCGTTTGACTGTTGGTTGTCAGGCTTCCCGTGAGTCGAGGCGCCAAAACGAAATTCCAGTCCACGATGGTCGCCTTTGAGCCGTCGGTCTTGGTCACACGTCGGTTGCGATCTGGCGACACCGACAAATGATGCCCGCGTCATTACCTTACTGGTTGAGCGACTCACCGCCACCGAAGCCTCAGGAAAAAAAAGGAAAAAGTCCTTTCTGCAATAGAGCAAGAGGAATCCGTAAGCGACGTGGCAATCACACGCTCATTCCAAAGTGAGGCTGCAGCAGAGCCAAAGATGGAGACTACATCGGAGTAGCGGCGTAAGTATCCATTGTGCGACTTGCCCCAATTGCCATGATTCAGCCAAAAAGAAGGTCGTATCATCTTCAAGCTTAATCTGATCGACTTTCACGTCTCGTTGAAAGAGCGGAGAATGACACCCCAGCGCTGCCGGACGAAGCGGTGAAAAGCTGCAAACAAGACATGCAGGTACGCGTATGCTGAAAAAGTACCTTTCGGAACGTGACGAGGGCCAAAGCTACGGGATCCCAGTTGGTGGTTGGGAAGTATCCTGGCCCCGCGCAAGAGCCAGCTGACGTAATCACCGGCGCGGAAGCTTGGGCGTGCATCTTCCCGTAAGCCTTCGAAGGCGCCCCATCGTACAATCGTATACATCACTTTTTCAGTTCCAGTGTCTCCATCAAAACCTAAAGTCGAAGGATAAATCGCACAATATGACAGCACGAGACGGCATAGGCTCATAAATCCGACGGGTGGCACTGTGCGGTGTTGGACCATCTGCACCTGCCCGGCTCATGACGAGAGACCGGACGCTTGCATGCGAAAGAGAAGCTACTCTTTGAGCCTCTGTGGATTCCTTCCTCACCAAGAGCAAGCACCTGTAGAAACACCGTAAACGTGAACGTGTGTAGGTGAGAAAACGGGAAACCGGCACCTATGGCTACACCCATCTGTGGATGGGATCAGAACACATCTCCAATTTCTGAAGTAGCATGTGGGGACTCCAGATTCTGTTCCGGAGTTTTGGAGAAGAGCCCTGGCCTCGCGCGCGCGGCGAACGCAGCCATGGCTTCACGACTCGGGTACCTGTCTCTGCACCTGGTACCCGGGTCATCGTTCTCTGGCACTGAATCCACAATCCGGTCCTTCGTAACGTCACCTCATCCAAAAGAGCTCTTACTGAAACTTGGCACGCGGTAACGATACGAGTGCAACGCAGGCGTCACCACTTTGTAGAACAGCTGCTCAACCAACACTTGTGGATGTTGTATCAATGCGTGCTGTTGGATGACAGTAACCGCGCCCCATGAATCGAACACTCATTTCTCTTTGAAGTGTGGCAACCCCACTAATGGCTTTTTGGTGTACAAACCCAGAAGGGTAGCACACAAAAACGCTGATCAAACACTACTGAGCATTCAAGACGCGATTACGTCTGCATACCTCCTTCCCGCACGGGCAGCCGCACCAGCAGGAACCGACAGATGGAGCACGTTTTCACCGCAACATTGGTAGGTATTGAGTAAGGTAACTGCAGGTTGACAGCAACTCACTCGTTATTGGGCTCTCGCGCTTGTCGCTACCACCGAACTTTCATTTCCTCGCTCTCCGAGGATCGCTTTACTAGCACGTAACGCGCTCTTCACTTATAGCCCGGCTTGGTCAATTCGCAGGCGAATTCACCATCTCTTCCCATTCTCTTATCGAACCAACGGCGGGCGAACGCAGTGCTCTGGTAGTGGAGCGAACCGCAACCATGAACGGGCAAGTCCTCGATCAACACCATGACAACCACCAGCACTGACGCTGAAGACAGTGCACCAAACAGCCCAGTATCACAGGCGTCCAGTACGAATGACACAAAGTCCGAGCATAATGTTTCTCGACTGCGGCGTGTCAGAGGTAGTATACCATGGCAGCTTTGGATCGTTGCTGTCATCGGGTTCTGGGAGAGGGCAACTTTCTGGGGACGTGAGTGTTTTGATCACACCGCAACATCATGCCTGAACTAGCACTGACTCTATTACGGACAGTCACAGCCCCTTGGCGTATGTCGTTGCCAATACCTCGTCTCCATCAACTGTTCTGACTAGCTTGTTGTAGAAAACTACATGGAACATCCCCGGCATCACGATATGGAGCACACCCCTGGTGCGCTTAACCTTGGCCAGACGACGGCAACACGCATTTACTGTGGATTCTTCATAGTCTACTTCACAAGTCCTGTCTTCATAGCGCCGTTGGCAGATAATCATCTGGGCCAATACAAGACTTTGCTGATCAGCTTGACGGTATATGCCCTGGGATGTCTTGCACTGGTCGTCAGCTCGCTACCCTCCATGCTCGGTCGAGGCGCGGGTCTGCCTGGTCTGATCATTGCAATGGTCCTGATAGCCCTTGGTGGGGGTGGTGTGAGTAAAGCAGTCAACAATCATTCCTACGCGTACTGAATTTCTTAGACCCAGGCCATCATGAGGTCTTTCATCGCCAACCAGTACACAGATAGAGCTCCACGAGAAATGACGCTTTGCGGAACGCAGAACCGTTTGCTTCAATGGCTGAGGAGACGCGTGGCGCGAACGTGTCTTTCGAAGTACTTACCAGCGTCGTCGAAAGGCGAACGGGTCGTCGTTGACAGCGAAATCACTCTAAAGTTCATTTACAATCTATACTTCTGGATTGGTAACGTAGGAGCTTTGTCGGCATTTCCGTGTGTCTACATTGAGAGGCATCATGACTTCGCTCCTTCGTATGCGTTGGGTCTTGGCTGTATCATCATCGCCCTTGGGATGCTGGTCTTCGGAAGGAAGTGTTTCGGTACGCATGACTCACTCATTTGGTACGCCTTATGCTAAAACATTACAGTCAACCCACCTCAGGAGGCAGATGTCATTGTACCTGCTGCGAAAGTTCTTAGCTGCGCCGTCCGCAACGGGTGCCGGATGGATCGCGCAGACCCAGCGTATCAGCGCCTGGAGAAATCCAAGGAAGTTCCATGGAGTAGCCAGTTCGTCGACGAACTGACACGTGCGTTAGGCGCTTGTCGCGTGCTGTAAGTGCTACCACTCTTGTTTCTCAAGCATACTAACATGTAGACTAGCCTGGCATTCATCGTCTTCTACATCTGCTTCGACCAAATGCAGAACAACTTGATCTCTCAAGCGAGCGATATGGATACTGGTAGTACACCCAACGATGTCCTTCCCGGCATGAACCAAGTGGCATGCATTATAGTCAGTCCGTTTGTGGAGTACGTCCTCAACCCCATGCTAGCCAAGCGGCGCATATATCTGAAGCCAGTCACTCGCATTGCCATTGGCTTTTGCTTCGTCGTACTCTCGATGCTGCACGCAACTCTAGTGCAGCATTACATTTATGCATCCCCGCCCTGCTTCGACCACCCAACAGACTGCGGAGACCGCCAATCTGTCGCACAAGATCGGCCTAATGTTTGGGTACAAGCGCCGCTTTATTTTCTCATAGCGACGGGCGAGGTTTTCGCCATGACGACAGCCATGGAATACGCAGAGAAGCACGCACCCAAGGAGATGAAAGTGCTCGTACAGGCCATCAACATGCTCATTACGGGGATAGGCTCTGCTATCGCGCTAGTCATCGCGGAAGGGGCGCGCGATCCATACCTTACCCGATTCTACGGTAGTCTGGCCGGAGCTATGGCCCTCACAACCATCATTTTCTACGTGGTGTTCCGCAACAACGATAATGACGACGTTACATCATCGCTGCACGGTTCCGCAGACGTGGAAAAGGGAAACAAAGACGCCACGCCTACACCACCCCTGACAGCTTCACCGTTTCGATCACGCGAATCCTACCTGAGCGTTCCCACGACGATTAAAGACGAGGGCATCGAATTAAGAGTGATTCCACCTTGCAGACTACGACAATAATTGAGCGACTCAACACCACTATATCTTAGTCACGCGACGAAGCATACGTTGCCCAAAAGTCGCGTACGCCCCTTGGCTAGCACTAAGTAACGCGACTTTTCGTTACGGCTGTATATACGCAAGTGCAGGGTGGCTTTGATGAGGATATTGCAGTGCAACGCCAGCGAAGGTTGAATTCGAGGCAACCGTTGCGTCTCCAAAGTAATATGAAGCCATTGACATGGACGTCTTTAGGTGTACTTCGCCGAGATCTTACCTCACTCAGGGATAGAAGTGGACAAGTTATCAAAAGAAATACCAATAAGCCTACACTGCCTTACAATATTGCACACTTTTGTTTTAATACCCACAGATTTGGTTGAACTGATGAAGATGCCTCAAATTGGTATCATTACTCATAGCCCTCGTAGATCCAGTTTTGCAACCCGTCCGCCAGACCCACTGGCCCAGCAAACGTCTCTCTCAACGCACTCGACAGCATCGAACGTTCCATTACCGATAGGAACCCAATTACTCCCTCCGTCGATAGTAACATCTGACCCACTAGTTCCAACTGCAACGGCTGTTTGTCTCCTCCCTGGCACCCAACTGACACCCGATCTATATCCGCGCGGAAACGAGTCAGCCTTTCGCCAGCTCACGCCGCCATCGTTGGACCAAGACGCCGTATTGTTGCTGGCTGTAGGTTGCTCATAGTCTCCACCGACTGCGATACCGTGACGCGTATCGCGAAAACGCACTGAGAATACACCGGCAGCGGCACCACCAGAGATGGACGAGTTCGCGACCTGCCAGCCATGACTGACGCTATCGGAACTTGTGTAGAAGATTCTTCCTGGATCCACGCCGCCACTTGCGATGTACCATCGGCCCGCCGCAGCTTCAATGCATGTCCCGCTTGCTGCGAAGCCGAATTCGCCGTCCAGCGCTGGCGGCATCGTCTTGTTCGAAACAATAGACCAGTGCGCACCACCATCCCACGTTTCTAGCAGACGGAATTTGCCGTCGACAGGATCACTCATTGCAACGCCGTGGCCTTCTCTACCTCTTTTTGTCTCGAACGCCATGCAATCATAGAATGCTGTCTTTTCCTCATTGATGAACGTGGGTCTCCAGCTCTTTCCGCTGGACATTGGCGCGCGAAGTCAGTATACGTGTTGCATGTAATTTGTTACGAGCAACTCACCCATTATCCGTTTTGTAGATGCGTGACAAGTTTCCCTCACCGATCGATAAAGCAACGGCATTTTTCTTGGAGAAAGCCTGGATATCGCGGAATTGGAAGTCTGAAGCATTCTCGAACGCAAATTGCGGAGACACGTCGACCCACGTTCTCCCGGAGTTGGTGGTACGTAGGATGGTGCCAGACGTACCGGACACCCACAGTACCTTTTCGTCAACAGGCGAAAGGCCACGGAATTGTTGTGTACTGTTTGTGGGGGTAAGCGTCCATGAGAGAGGCTTTGTAGGCTTTGGATGCGCGAATGTGAACGAAGCGATCGAGAACAGGATGGATAATGTCTTCATGATGCAAGCACTCAGGAACAAGGCAATATTGTATACAGCAGTCGTCTCAGAGTTAAAGAGATGATGCTGGAGAGATTAAGTACCTAATCAAGCGCAGCTATCGTGCCCCGCAACGGCCTTTAGCCTTGATAGGCAGGTGCGACATTCGCCACACCAAAGTAGGGGCATTGAACCCAGCATCAAAGACTTGATGAAATACATGTCTTTCGGACCATGATGGAGTATCTGCGCGAAGTACGCAACTTTACGTCTAAACAAAGCATCCAACGATGTTGAATTTGATGTTGCTTGCACAGTTCACATATAGCGCAATGTAGGTTTCGGACCGAGATCGACCCAGACGCCTGTAATGTAGCAACTTCAGGGTTGAAATGTGGAAGGGACCTTGCCATCATGACTTATATATCTGAATTCGCCTATGTTTCTGGACATATATGGATCACGGAAGAGTTGTTCGCTCTGACTACTTGCGACACTTGTCTGAATACCGGAAACATGCGGCCTATATTGAGTATCGGTAGCCTACGTCTTCGGCATAGCCAGGCAAACTCCTAAAAAGACTGATTGGATAGGTGTCAATGGATGACATTTTGGAAGTCGAGAGTTTGCATCACGCGAAGCTTGGAGAACCTCGATCATGCCAACGACAGCAAGCGGATTCAACGATGCATGTATCGAACATCTTGCAATTTAGAGCTAGGTGATAGAAGAGTTTGAAGAGAAAAGACGCAACACGCTTGCTCATTGATCGATCGCAGCTTCGGTAGCTTTCAAAGCTCCAACTACAGCAAAGCATATCATGGGAGTGACTGCGTAACTGATCTGCCGGTGGGTTAGTGGATGCTACCAGCTGACAGTATCTGATGGTTTCTTACTGTTAAGAATTTTGCAACAGTCATCTTCATCGACTCCGCTGCACCTGTAACATCGGCTAGCGCTACCAATATCATAGCAGGCGGACCGGTCGGCATGAGCATCATCGAGAACCAAAGCATAGGGTCTGCATCTAGAAGCTTCGTCTTCGAGGCGATTGCGTAGATCAAAGGTATGCTTATTCTGTTGTCGATTAGTCGAAGCTTCCTCCATGTAGCGGGTAAAGAACCTTACAAGGGCCAGATGATGAATCTAATCAAGGTCACGGTCGCCAGACTACCCTTGTGCACCTCCCCACTGTGCTCTCCGCGCTTCATGCGCAACAGGCTCTTGCTGAGCTTTACCCCAACAACAATGATCTGCAACGAGGCAAATAGATCGCCGATATTCTTTATCGCCGCCGTGATCGACGCGTTGAGATAACCACCCTCGTTGCTAGGACTGAAAAAGATTCGATGAAGCGCGGGCGTCAATCCAATTACTGCTCCGACGATGGCGCCGATCAAGGGAGCGTTGGCAAAATGCCATGTGATTTCCAGTGTCTCTTGTAGCCATGGAGACAAATTGTTGAACCATGCTCTTGTCTTTAAATATCCTTTTACCTCCACACGATTTGCGGGCTTGGTCAACTGTTGTGGAAGCAGCGAAGTCTCCTCATCGACGATCCCATCAGGACCTCGCTCCATATCACTACTCCCGCCGTCTCCGTTCGCTTCGCCGTTCTCCGAATCATCGTCCTCTCCATGTGGTTCATTGGATGCGTCCTCATCTCCTGGCCTCAACAAGCGCGGCCCAAGAGCAAAGGTAAGCGAGTTGCTAACCATTGCATTCACCAGGAAGTATGATTCGGCTCGATCCATGGCCTCACTGCCAGACTCGCCGCCAATGAGTATGGCATCGAGAACTTGGGTTTGCTTGAGAGACTGTATAAGGAGGAGGGGAAGAGAGGTCGTGTTATTGAAGGCGATTGCTGGTGCTACCCACGCTGGCAGTTTGAAGAGGCGCGTAAGGACGCGGCCGACGAGGACAGAAAGTAGTGTATAGGATATCGACCATACTAACAATTGTGGTAAGCATATAGTTGACAAAGGCCCACAAAGTAGACTTACTCAGAACAGGCACATATCGCACTCCGGTGTCCTGATGCAGATTGGAGCCAATTTTGTAGATCAACAAAGCCGGCAGAAACATGCGCACGCATAGCTTCGACACCTCCTTCGCCGCGTTGGGCGAAAGCAAGTTGCATTGTGCTGCGACAACACCAAAAGCAATGGTCAGGAGCACCGAGAAGGCAGCTTGAATGGCGCCGGTGAAAGGTACGATGAGTTCGCCTGCAGCCACACCCATGATGGGAAGAGACGTCTAGCAGTCGGTAGCGGAGGAAAGTCCGAGTCGATCGTGTAGTAGCGGAGGTCAGAATGATGTAAAGCGTCGAGTAGTCTTCAAGCGTGAAATTAGGAAGACAGAGTTTAGCATCATCGTCGTCGTCGCGCACGCGACCTGGGCCGCGTTCCTGGACCATGACGTCGGTGCAGCGGGTCGCCGTTGGAGACGCCAATCCCACGCCGCGGCGCTATCAGGCAGATTACTCCATCCATCGCGTCTCTTCGGGCGTCCATTGGAGACCCCGAGATTCCAGTAGGTCGTGTACCGGAGTTCCCGAAGATAGGTAAAGTGCGAGCTGTGCTGTGGGCCAGAGTGCTCTTGAAGATGTAGCAGCGCCGGCACGCAAGACGCTTGGACGGTCACGTCGGCGGATGTGTGAGACGCTAGATTAGTCATCGGAGCTAGCCAAGCGCTTGGCGAATGCTAGAGCCTCACAGGCACGATAGGTTCATAGACCGAATTCCCCACGCGTTTCGTCAAGAGACAGTGGTATTGATACACGACATAGGAAATCTAAATAGGACATCTAAATTACGCCACCTATGCACAGCGCCTGTACAGAAACTCCGCTGACCGTCGTCTTCGCCGCAACATTACCGACGCGTCCGTCTCGCATCTCATCCCGTCTCACAACACGACGCCCCTCTACGCCGCCTTCTTTGTAGCCTTGGTCCTCAACTTCATCATCAGATACACCAGTGTGTAACTGCTCACCGAGAACAACACGACGATGCCGGCGTTCCTCCACCCATAATACTCCTCCGCAAGGTTCAGGGTCCGGAGAAAGTCCGCTCCGCTCTTGTACTGGCACACGCGGCAGTCGACGGTGGCATCGGGATTGAGCAGGTTGATACCGGATCCCATACCCTGCTGGTAGACTGAGAGGTATTCGCCGCAGGTCTGGTTGGCAGCAGGGTCGAAGATGGCGAGCTCGCTCGATTTGCAGTCTACATTCGCAGACCAGGTGGTGAACACCAAGAGAGAGGACATCAGGTAGTTGAATGGGTCCAGATAGTAAAGCCAGTACCTCCAGAACGGCTCGAGCTGACTGTAAGGAACCAGAACTCCGCAGAAAGACACCAGTGTCGTGACGAAGAGAGGGTTGACGAGCGAGGCGAATACGGCGTTGGGAGAGTAGGCTGCGATCATCTGCCCGATACCAGTATACAGGAACTCGTAAACAAGCTGCGATATGTCAGTTCTGCACCGTCGACGCTGCCGTGAGAGGGGGGTTGCCTACCACAACGAAAAATGTGCTACCAGCGTACTTTGCTGCACCAGGCAAACCTGCCGTGAAGTACCAACACACATAGTACATGACCGCACACACGACCAAATACGGAAGCTCCGAAACGATCAGTCCTGTCACGAATGGCGCCCAGTGGTATGTCTTGCTCTTCTTCTCGCGCGTTTCGTATACATCGCGGCGTTGAATGAACAGCGGTTGTAGCTGGGAGATAACGCCAGGGGCCACGAAAATGAAGCTGAATACAGTGAACAGTCGCAACTGCAGGTCCTGAAGACTGTCGCCAATCATCCAGAAGGTGAAGCCGTTTAGTAAAGCCAAAAGGATGTGCATAATCACCTTGTTGTTGACGTAATCGGTGTTGCGGAAAAGCGAGACGTTCATACGATGCGTAACTATTTTCACTTGCTCCCACATGGGCGAGGCAAACGCATAGCCATCATCGACAGTACCCGGTGGGCGAGCGGCGGCTTCCGCAACGATCCTGTCAAGCTCTTCGGTCACGTCGTTGTACTGTTGGGATTCGAGCCAAACCCTGTTCCAGTCCGTGTTCTGAGACAAACTGCCGGAGACGACCTCTATCATGTGCTCGGCAGGGTTTGCCTCGCGTGGACATGGCGCTCCCTTGCTAGCGAAGTAGGATTTTACCGTACTTGCATCGTCACCGATATCGCCAAAGTAGACAGTCTTGCCACCCTTGGCGAGTAAGAGAAGCGTATCGAATTGCGCGAACAACTGGGCTGATGGTTGGTGGATCGTTACGAGGATGGCCTGTCCGACTTCCGCGAGCTTGCGCAAGAAGCGCACAGTGTTGTATGCAGCTTGCCCATCGAGGCCAGACGTCGGCTCGTCCAGGAATATCAGGATGCTGGGCTTCGCTACCAGTTCAACGCCGATCGTCAACCGTTTACGCTGCTCGATGGAAAGGCCAGCACCAGGTCGGCCGATGAGTGTATGCTCGATGTCGTGGAGTTGTAAGAGGTCAATTATGGTGTCCACGTAGCGGAGCTTCTCGTCTCGTGGTGTTTCACGAGATTGTCGGAGAAGAGCGGAGAACTCCAAAGCCTCGCGTACCGTGGCCAACGACTCGTGTACGTCCATCTGTTCAACGTAGCCTGCCGATCGCTGGAACGATACCGGGAGGTCTCGTCCATCAACCATGATAGACCCATGGATCGTGCCGTCGGTCTTCCGCTGAGCGAGAACGTCGAGTAATGTCGTTTTGCCAGCCTACATACAGTGTTAGAGTTCAAGACGCTCACAGTGGACATTGAGGTATGACTTACGCCCGAAGATCCCATTAAAGCCCCAAGAGTTCCGGGCTTCACGAATCCCTGTACGTTGTCAAGGAGAACTCGATCGCCTGATGGAGTCTTGACAGTGTACGTAAGATTCTTCCAGGTAAAGATTGAAGTATTGCGGATGAGTTGGTTGGCGAGCGTGTTATCAGATCCGGAGGACGCGGAGCTAGCATGTGGCTTCTCATATGATTGAG